AGAGGGAGAAGCAGACTCCCTGCCGAGCAGGGAGCCTGATGCGGGACTCGATCCCGGGACTCCAGGATCATGACCTGAGCCGAAGGCAGTCACTCAACCAACTGAGCCAACTAGGCGCCCTGCTCTTACTATCTTAACTGATAGATTTTGCCAGGCATCTCTGTTAGAGCTGTATGACTTATAATGATTACATTTACCTTTGCTCCTTATAAGAACCTAATGAGACCAAATTGGTGGCATGTAATCCAGGTCTCTTTAACTAATAACGTGACCTGACTTCTTTAAGCCTGACTTTCTTCAGCCTACGGTAAGGGTGGCCTCTAACGTTCTCTGATTCCATAATTGCTTTTGCCCTTTACTATATGTTATTCTAGACCAGTTTAGTCTAATCTAGGTGAAGGAAACAAACATACAAAGACCTGAATGAATAAATAAATACCCCAAATATTGCTCTCCTAGTGGGATAGCTTGAATAGAAAATTTCACAAGCCAACTGGAGGTCCCAGGTTTTGGGGTATCAGTCGCCTGGAAATGCAAAGACTAGAGAGGGCACACTGTCTCAAACTATAAAATCTGCCATAATACAAGTAAGGTGAAAACAGATTTATTTGCCAAATCTCAAAATACTAGTATGAGGGGACACCCTTTGAAATTCTGTAGGGGAAGTTGTTCACCCAAAGGGTAATAAACTTACCAAATGCATTATACCAGCAGGTGGTACAGGAAGGAAATAAATGTATAAACCGTTTCCCACATGGTTTGGGAAGGTCTTATGAATGGCCAAGTCATTACAGAGTAGAGCATTACAGAGGACTGGGAACATGTAAGGTTGACATCTGGGAAAACAATAAAGCTGTCCCTCCTCCCTAAGGTCCTTCTGAGTCATATTAGAAAAAAATCAGAGGCACCTGGGTGGCTCAGTTGTTAAGCATCTGCCTGCAGCTCAGGTCATGATTCCAAGGTCCTGGGATCGAGCCCCACATCGGGCTCCCTGCTCAGTGCGGAGACTGCTTCTCCCTCTCCCCCTCCCCCTGCTTGTGTTCCTTCTATTTCTGTCTCTCTCTCTGTTAAATAAATAAATAAAATCTTTTAAAAAAAATCAGTTCAATGTTCTACTTCTAGAAGGGCAGCAAATGTTTGTCTTAATAAAATGGAAGGAACATCCTAACAAGGAAGGGAAGAAAATGATCTGGATTAAGGGCAACCCAAGAGGGTATAGACTCTCAAGACAGCACTGATGTTAGCCACTCTGGCCAGGGATGTCGTCATGTGCTTATCTGTCTTGGGGGAGGCGGGGGTATTGACACATACTAAACTCTTAATTGGGTAATATTAATCCAGGTTGTATTTTGTGCTGGCTCTAAGGGGAAAATAACGATGAGTCCCAATTATTTATTTCAGCTGTTGAAGTGAACGAACTCATAGTTTCTCTTCATGAATGGGGGGGAGTCATCTAATCTTCGGTGCCACAGCAGTCCCCTCAGGGTGGGGGGGGGCAACCTACACTGTTGGAAAACAAAGCAAAGAACTCAGCCCTCATTCTCTGAGATGTGGGTTTCATCCCAGCTCTCTGTACGAGCTGATGCTCTTAGTTTGAAAAGATGTTAATGGGTGCTCTGCCTAGGTAAGGATCTTCAAAATGGGCCCTGAGTGCATTTACTTTTCTCCTTGCATTTGTAATCAGCCTGTCATTTCATTATCTGCATTCTGTGTTGGCTGTTTGGGATCATTAGGCAAAACCTAGCTATTGCTGCATATTACTCAGTACGTTTGCTCTAATAAGCTTTCGTAAATAAAACCCGAAGAGATGAAAAAGGCCAGTGTCTGACTACATGCAACCAATTTGGTCTCATTAGGTTCTTATAAGGAGAAAAAGTAAATACAATCGTTATAAATCATACAGCTATAACAGAGATGCCTGGCAAAATTCATTAGTTAAGATAATAAGAGTGAAGACCATTTAAACATGCGTAACAGTTTGGTTTATGAAGCTGTTAAGTACTATTTCATCCATTATAAACTTTTACAAAGCTCAAAGATGTAATCAGACAAAAGAAATCATATATTCTTACATGATTCCCTAAGGTTTGGGCTTAATAAATTGCTATTAAAACAATGATAAAAACTAATGCTTATCTTGAATCTTTCAATTCAAAGACCCTTGTAGACTCATAAAACATTCATTTATTTTCCCTACATGTTCAAACAAAGTTTGTTCAACCTATTTTACAGAGGATACCATTGAGGCACAAACCAATTAAATGATAAGCAAAAAAACAAACACACAGCAAAACTGAAAGTGACCAGAGAATAGGTCATTGCTTCTCAAGTCAATGTAAAGTCAGAATTGTCATTTCAAAACAAACAAACAAAGACGAGGGCTGTCTTTACTGGTTTGCCCCCCACGGGTAGTATTTTGATTTGATTCTTGGGTAGCAAGTAAGGCAAGTGTTGATCAGTTAGACTTGAATATTATTGTTTCCCAACTGAGGAATTTGTTCAGGAAAATAATAAATAAAACAATCCCTAGTTAGGAAAGACCTTGGAGTTAGACAACTGCCCTACTTTGTGACCTTGAGCAAAGTCACAGAGTGGACCCCGTATTGTCTTAGTTGAATCAGGGAAAACAACACTGTGAGGAAGAAATGAGATTATTAACATCAGGGAAGAAAAAGTCCTTACAAACTTTTTCATGCTGCACATGTTACCTATTTTCCCTATCTCTCTTCCTCCTATTCATTACATGCTATGATGTTTTAAGAATTAGCTCTTAAAAAAAAAAAAAAAAAGAATTAGCTCTTATCTTCAGAAACTATTATTATTATTATTTTATTATTTTACAAATACTCTTAATACTGCCCTCAAGACTTTGCCTATTGGGTCAGTAGGATGTCCCATCTCAGCACTGGGGAAACTGAGGCAATCCTAATGAGTGAGCTCTAACTAGATGTCAGAATATAATCCTCACACTTAGCCCAAACCCATCAGCCGGGGAGGAAACAGGTTTTCTAGACTGCCAGAAAGAATGGAATGGGAGAAGCAGGAACTGGCTTCCCTTCCACTCCCTTTCGAATTTCAGCCAGTTTGCCATCTTCCTGGTCCTTACAGGTCTGCCAAGCTGCTCCTTTCAGCCCCGACTCCACTCCTCACCAGTGCCTCCCAGGGTCCCAGGAACCACCGTGACCTGGCACAGTGTGGCAGCAGTATGGAAGGGAAAACGGGAGGACTGGGGCAGGGGTAGCAAAACGGGGAAAGGCAGGTACTATCCTGGGCAGCTAAGATCTCAAATGAATGCTATCTGAACTTGATACGTCCCTATATAGCAAAGGAAGTAAGAGAAACACTGATTTTAAGTAAATCATTTGAGGTTAAACAACGTATAGTGTCCTTGGGCAGGACGGAGGGGGTGTGCCTAGGTAAAGCAGGTTGTGATGTTAGGAGATGGGGGGGCTGGCGGAGGGGGGGTGTATTTTATTATTTTTTTCTTTTCTTTTTTCTCCTCCATCTTAAATAGCAGGGATGTGGCCAAGTGCAGCGCCTCTTACAATAGATACAACAGTGCCACCTAGAGGCCAAGCAGCAATTGTCCTCCCAACCCGCGAGAGGCCGGGACTGAAACCCATGATCCCAGTCGCCCAGCACCGGCGAAATGAAGCTTTCACGTCACAACACGACCGGGCTTGATGGCTGCTTCGCCCACAGACGGCACGCAAAGACTTGGAGGAACTGCTTGCAAAGCCAAGTATCCAAGGACTGTCTCTGCTGACATCAGACAGCACACGGCCGCTCCTCTTGAGTGTAGTTCCAAAACCTAAAAGGAGAAAGGACCTTCTGGATTGTAGCCTCGGAGCCTCCCCTCCCCCCCCAACCAAAATGCAAATTTCCTTGAGTTTTTCCTTCCTGTGTCCTATTCTTTGCATGTTAGGATAATTCATGCAAATTTTATGCATTTCGCTCAGAGGCATCTAATTAGACAGATTAGCCCGTTGACTCAGTAACCTTCTATTGTATGCTTTTGAAAGGAAGGTTATGGCAGTTAGGAACCTCTCACTCTTAATAGGCATCAGGCACAGAGTGTGTTTCTGTATGAGCTCACAGGGCTCTGTGGGTGTGGAGAACAGAAACACCTGCATTTTGTGTGTGTATCACCTTGTGCTTGCATTTGGGGGCTTAGTATGGCTTCACATCCCAAGTCCAGCATAGGTACATGGGCACCCAAGTGCAATCAAGGTGCACCTCTCCGTGAGAAAAAGGGAAATGAAAAGTTAGCTCACAGAGGTCCAGGAAGTCTGACCATCTGATTGGCATAACAGCTGAACAAAGGAAATGAAAGAGAGAAAAAAACATATATACATTTCCTCCTTTGTTCTGAAAATAGATTTCAGTTCTTGTTGGCATACCACCAGTCTACATTCCAGAAGAAAAGAAAACTCACTTATCAGGGAACGATAAACCAGAGAGGCTAACAAGCTCTCAAATTGACAAAAGCATTGTGCGTTGCCATGGAAAGCGATCTTTTAAACTGTGAGGGTCATTATCCCCTGCCTCTAAAAATCTACCAGGTGTACCAGCCTAGGATCTAATTAGATGAACCAGATTCCTCACAGCAGCTTCTGAGATGACTTCCTAACACTCTTCCTTCCGTGCAGAGTCAGCCAACTCCCAAGAGCCATCCAGATGTGTGTTTAAGTCAACCGCTGTGTAAAGCTCCCTGAAACAGACAGCAGTTCTCCCAGCACGCAGCCATCAGTAAAGCTTTTGGGTCAAAGTGGGGCCACTCAAATACCTGCCTGTACCATTTGATTGGGGCCAGTTAGCCGGGGACAGTGGCAAGGCGAAGAACTCTGCTTGTCTAAAAAGAACATCCATTATTCAATTCTAGCCTTTCCTTGAGGAAAGGCAGGCACAGTCTTGCTAGGTTGTTTTCAAGAAAAGCCTGACATCTGAATGTGTATGTGAAATCTCCCAATTTTTAAATGTTGGCAGCAACTCAAAAAAATTTAAAAACCTTGTGCGAGGCCCAACAAAATGTGGCCAAAGGCCTGATTCTACCCGGAGAATAATAGTGCGACGCCTGCCACACCCAACTATTACGCCTCCTCTGCATATTTAGCCCAGAAACTTTCACACTTCTGTGTCTTTGTTTATCCTGTTTTCACTTGTCTGAGTTGGTCTTTTCCTCCAGTGTCTGCTTGTCAAAATCCAGTATCAGGGGCCAACTCAAATGTCAATTTGTTTGTGAAGTCGACCAGAATCACTGCAGTCAAAATTAATCATTACAATAACACTTGGTTTTTATCTCTGTTCTCACACTTAGTAGAGTCAGCCTCCCAGTAGGAGTCAGCGGTGTTGGTACAAGTCCCAGGTGTGGGTCCCTGAAACCTAGTAAGGTAGCCAATACATGCTCTCTCTCTGCCCAGTGCCCAGCACAGAGCCTGTGTTGATGGTTGCTTCGAATTTACATGGAGGAAGTTACTAAGTGGGAAGTAATAAGGCATGAAATTCGTTGGCTAAAATACTCCCACACTTAACTTCAGTCCCAGCCTTGTAGTAAACACGTCAGGGGATCAGATGACAATGCACAACTACTGAAATTGGGTCTACATAATGATAATTTAAACACCTATTTGAATAAGGTGCATCTCTCTGCCAGACCCCAGGGGTATGTTATAACTATCAGGCTACAGTTTGACTTCCTAGAGGGCAGGGTGCTTTTTTTTCACCCATGTTTTCATTCTATGTACCTACCACACTCTCTGGCACAGAGAAAGGATTCGATAAAATACTCGTGGAGTTTAATCATCATCAAAACAAGTCTGTAATGAACACCTACCTCATGCAAAGAACAGCATGTTCCGTGGTAGCAATGTGGTAAAATGCCCTGGGGCAGCTACAATCTGGGTTGGAAAGCAAAACATATTTAAATGGAAAAAAAAATTAGTTGCATCATCAACACATGATAAACGCTGAGAAGTGTTTTTTGAGCTCCAGCTCTGTGGTGTGTCTCCTGTTAAATGCTGGGCATCCAAAGAGAAAAAGAAGCTGCCCCCCACCCCATCTCATGGAGACCAGGTAACATATAGGGGAGTTTGAAATGGAAAGAGCACTGTGCTCTGAGCAAGTCAGAAAAAATGCCACTCGAAATCCCAGGAAGCAGGAACCTATGGAAGTTCCAGATGGAAATTGATGTCCTATTGTTGTAACATTGGGATGTTAATGGGGGGGGAGGGTGTTGAATAAATTGAAATGTTGCAAAAGGAAAATATTCTAAAGTGATGCTATCCCTAGATCCTGGTGGGCTTTCTGGGACCTAGGTATGTAAAATTCCCTCACTGTCAACCTTGGGATCACACGCAGTGAAGAACTACATTGAAGTTCCAAGGAAGTAGTGGGTCCTGAGCTCTGAGGGGCAGGAGAACTCTGCCCAGGGGCCACGGTGACCCCCGACTCTGACTGCCTCTGGGAACACCCGTGCTGATGGGAAGAGATACAGTGAGACAAATGGGCCACAATGATGGCCATCACAGGGTGAAAGGGACAAGCTAGCTCTCTGGGGCCTCTTCTTATCAGGCCATAAGGGGTCTGCCCTTGTGACCGAACACCTCCCAAAGGCCCCACCTCCTAACACCATCACCTTGGGGGTGACAATTTCAACATAATAATGTGGAAGGGACTCAAGCGTCAGACCCCAGCAGTGTAGAAACTCCCCACGCTATCATGGATCACCTTAGTCTTTTCGCACCCTTCACAGTCCACAGTTTCCCTGCTATGGGTGGTGAGAGGAGAATAACCATGGCTTTGTTGACCCTTTCTTTTGGCCAACTTGAATCTGGTCAGTTGGTCTGAGAAAGCAGTGACAAAAGGAGAAAGGGCACTGGTTTCAGTGTAAGCTTTCTCTTCCAAGTGGGGAACTTAATGTCACGAACTCTAGCTGTGACCCCCTAGCCCACCATGCAGAACAATCCATCCATGACACGTGAGAGTGTATACTTATGACCACCCTGTAAAATGGAGAAAACCTGGGGAAGGAAATAAGAAAAACATGGGGAGGAGGGAGGTAGGGGAGGAGAAGAAGGAGGGGTAGGGAGGAGATCAGTATGGCAGGTGAAAATTAAAATGAGGATTTATTGAGAGAATCTGAGGTGGATCTGGAGCTTAAGATCAAGAATTGCTGGAGATAAATGTAGAAAAATGGGGAAAAGAAAAATAATAGAATCAAATCTCTGCTTTGCAAGCTCATGCTCTGCCAATAATTTATCCTTAAAAAAAAAAAAGGCAGAAGGAGATCAGAAGATGGGAGAAAAATAATCAACACGAAAGTGGAGGTGTCAACCTGAACAGATTTCAAACTGAAACAAAGAATTTATATGATTAGCAACAATTACATGGAGATACATAAACATCTTGGGCCAAATGGTACCGAGCAACACTCTAGCGCTTCATGGTGCCTTATGTATAGTTCAGTCTTTTGATATTTTTTTGCATTCTGCCAGCAAAATTTTTGTCATATCTGATGTGTTTTGCCAAGTGTTTTATTTGGGATGCTTCCTGATTTAAATATTTTTAGCTGCAGTGGTTTTTTAATCACGAGGGTATTGTTTCAAAAAGCAATTATTTTATGTGCATCTAAAAGCAAAATTGAAGCCCAATCCAAATTCATCTGAGATCATCTTATACGTGAGAGGGCACCGTGGAAAAGAGCAGAAAACTGCCCTTGAGAACTATTCTATGAAGGGATCTCAGATTTCTCTTATAAAATATGGTTAGTGGGGTGACCTTTGATGTCTCCCGATGCTGTTGATTGAAAACGGCAAATTGCAATGTCATCTGTGTTCATCAGAAAATAAGGTCCATTCGCTCGTCCCACCCCCAAATCGAGCTTCTTTGCAATCAGTCAGCCTTCCCAGTGGCCTATAATTTGGATAAGAGGAGCATGAATGGGTGACTCTCTAGAAAGAAACATAATGTCTTGCCATGTAATTGCTTTTCTAAGGAAGGAAGTGGCGTCGCCCTGGTTTGGAGTTCAGAGGCTTACCATGAAGCACCTGGAAGGAAAAAGAACTAAATGTCCAGGTTGATCTACTCTTGAGCCATCTCCTGGGTGGGAATCTTCCTCCAGAGCCCACTCTGCAGGGTTAGGAACAAATCCATCTGTTCCATGAGGTAGCTGCTGCTGGTTTCCCAGTGCCCCTCAGCCCCGCAGTCCTCTGCCACACAAAAATTACAGAAAAGACAGGGTCAAGCATGTCTGCTTTATGGCAAAGCAGACATATATACAACTGTCAGGGAACAGAGAAACACCCCTTAAAGCCTGGGCTACAGCGACATCTGATTTTTCAAGCCCACACATAGGCATTGGGTTGCTTCTTTCAGAAAGTGCTTTCTTCCTCGTCTATTTAAGTTGATCCAATAAAAGCACAGTTCAGAGAGATGTGTAGTCCAGCCAACGCGGTCATTTTTACAGCAAATGAACTATGGGCCCGAGGAACAATGAGAAGTCTCTTTTCCAATTGTTCGTGGGAGTGTGTTCATTCCAAGCCATTACCACGTGTGTGTGTCAGGGGGAATCTCTGCATCAGGCTATAATGAGGCACATTAACTTTCTTTCCACAGCAGAGCGTTCTGTGCCCCGGCTCTATGACGGGTCCAAGATTGTGGTTCAGGGAGCCGCTTTAGACCCAGCTCTTCCTGAAAAGTCCACAGCCAGCCAGGCGACAGTTACGAGAACAGCTCTTAAAACCACAGGCAAGGAAGGAGACAGAGAGTCAACCTAGAAAGTTCCCTCTGGGAAGGGCCCTGCTGGAAGGTGTAGACTGGGAGAGAATTTCCTGACAGTGGCAGCTGGTGCCTCGAGAAAGCACGGAACAGCGCAGAAATGGGATGGGGTGGGGAAGCCTGCGGTCTAACCCAGCACTTCTGCTAGCATCTGCTCTTTCTGCCTTACGGTCTACCTCTGACTCCAGTGCTGGTTTGCTCTCTCATTATGTCACCCTCGAGCTCAGAAGCCCTCCTGGTTCCCACTGCCTTCGGAACCAAATGCAATTCCTACACGGAGTTCTCAAGAACTGCACTGGGTACGAGCAAGCCCTTTCCTGCATCCACACCATGGTGTTTCCACTCTGAGCCAGATATCCTGTCTGCCCCTCCAGATCCACACCGCACCTTTCTCCACCAGCTCTCATCTGGGAGCATGACCTGGGGATCCCAACCAGTTCCCAAGGACCCAAGGACCCAGCTGTGGGTTGGGTTTGGCCAATAGGGAGAGGGGGGCGGGGCCAGGCAGGGTGTTCAAGGGATGGAGCGGAGAGAAGGCATTCGCAGTGCGGGCTCCTTCGTGCTGGGGTTCCTTCTAGCTGTGCCCCTCACCTGACGGGCACTGGTCCCTGAGGCGCGGCTTCCTCTACTCTGTGCCTGCTGGTTCTGTGACCGTACTTTCCCCTCATTCCCAGAGGTCTGAGGATGATATCCCTTTCCCTCCCTTAACCACCACTGCTCAGAGTTACTGCACTATTATTTGTAAAAAAAAATCCTCCTCCTCCTATCTATTTAGACTACTCCATCCGTTTCCTGTTGGGATCCCGACTGAACCTCTCTTTCCCTCTTTCTACCTCCTTATAGATGAGAGATTGTTAAAGCTAAAAGTAATGGGACCAGGATTTGAACCCAAGCAGTCTAGCTCCAGAAACTTCTCTCGTAGCCCCTGAGCTGTATACAGGCTCACTAACACACTGGGCTAGTACTGCATTGTCGCTTCCCTGCTCCCATCAAAATCCACCTGATCCCAGCAGGTGGGGGTCAAGCCACTCCTCGTCTATGATATTTCCCTTGTCCCTCCAGCTCCATCAGACACTCAGTTTCCAGTAGGCAGAGTGTCTGTGTCATCCCCCTGTACACATACACAATCCTTTCAGGATTCATGTGCATATTCTTGTTTCCCTCGGGGATGGAAAATTTCCAGGAAGACAGAAATTGTGGTTCCATATAATCTCCATGGTCCTTAGCCCACAGTAAATACAATGACCTCATCACTCAGTTGAATAAATGAATGGGAAGGAAGTCCTATGGCTACTTACATTGTCAAGACGAATAATTGCCCCTGTAATTTATGAGTTCTTATTAAATTTCAACTTAAAAAAAAAATGAGCAGTGGAATCGAAAGGTGACAAACTCTAAATAAGTAAAAGTCATCCAGAAGCAATTCTAGCATTTCCTTTACCAGAAAGGCTTGCTTAGGACTCCTAAGTCTCATCATATACTAACTGATGCTGGAGAGTCCTCATAGTTTGGTGGCTATGAAGAAATTTCTGGAGCACTCCTGCCAAGGTTCACATCCAGGTTCTGCTGCCTGTTAGCTGTCAATTTTAGGAAACGGCAATTTAATCTCTCTGCTGCTCAGTTTTCTCATCTATAAGATGGGGCTAATAGTAGGACTGACACACTTCATGCTGTGAGGATAAAATGAATTCATACACATAAGCACCAACACTGAACCTGGATGCATTGTGTGCAATATGTATCAGTTATTATTGCTGAATATGGTTATCCTGTCCTGCCAGCACTCTGCCCAGGACTTCCTAACGCCTGGAAGTTTCCAGGGAAGGCAAGGTACTACTCTCTAGCACTTATTTACAACAACTCTACCTCAAGGAGTTAAAAGCTCCGCAGATTTCATCTCATTCTAGTGACTAACATGCTGATGAAGTATTTTCATGTAGAGCGGGAAGAAGGAATAGGGAGGCTATTTTTAGTGTATTATACTATTTTACAATAGTAAAATGAGCCATCAAAAGCACAGGGGAAACTAATTAACTTCTAAATGAGTCTTTACTTGGCACCTACAATGTACCCAGCTGTGTAGTCAAAGAGATGGAGGAGGCAAATGAATGGTACAGCACCTGTCTACGGTGAGCCAGTTGGTCACCTTAGTGCAACGCAGAGCCCAGGAGTTGTGACCCAGTTTTCTGCCAGGCCGTTGGAGCACTCAGAGAGCAAGGAACAGCTCTGATTTTTGAGAACTAGCTATTAATCTCTCGAGGTAGATGAGTGGGTTTACATCCAAAAAAAAACCTGTGACAACATTGAGGACATTGCAGATTCATCTAATAATCCATCTGACCCTCATTTGTTCTTCTGATACATGCCTGCCAGCCAGCCAGTCCCCCGCCCCCATGGGTTGAAATGGCAGTGCAATGGGAAGAATACCAGAATCAGGGAGCCCATAAAGAGTCTTCTTCCTTGATCAGCCTCTTCTTTATAATCTTACCTTTTTATTACCTTTATTAAGCATGGCATGCACAGAGGGCCTAAAAAGAGCATGAAAGAAACAATTTGAGTGTCGGTTTTGCAGCAGTTCTCCCTCCCCAGAGAACTGAGCTTACACACATAGTTTATTACCTTCTCATGCTCCTGAACACTGCTTAAAGCCATATATCTTTTGGTGGGTAAATGAGTAGCATGTCTCATCTGTCAATCAAGCCCACTTCCCCCTTGAATAAAGGAAGTTAACGTCTTAGCCCTCTGACAGTTGAGGGAAGTGAGCTTCCTCTTGCTCTCTGCCAGGAATTCTATGGCAGGAGGAGAGAGGGGAGGGGTGTCCTGGCAGTCCTGGGGTGCCTTGGCTCTGTGGGCCACCGAGACGGGGAAGGGTCTATACACACTCCTGTGGCAGCACTAGCCAGACTGCGGCTGCTGAATAGAAAGATCACAGCGACTCTAGTATTTCCTCCAGAGCCACAGCTTGGCCAAGGCCACACCCGTGGCATTTCATTGGTCTGATTAAGACAGAATCCAGGTGGTAATGGGTTGAAGAGGGAGAGGAGGACAGATCAAGGGGAAAAAAATCTATCTCCTTTTCTGGCCAAAGCCACCCCACCCCATGCTGATGAAATGTTTGGTTATGTTTTTTTTTTTAAGATTTTATTTATTTGAGAGAGAGAGAGAGAGACCGTGAGCAAGAGAGTGAGAGAGAACATGAGTGGGGGGAGGGGCAGAGAGAGAAGTAGACTCCCCACGGAGCAGGGAGCCCGATTGCGGGGCTCAGTCCCAGGACCCCTGGATCAAGACCTGAGCTGAAGGCAGACGTTTAACGACTGACACACCCAGGTGCCCCTGTTTGGTCATATTTAATTCAATTTATATCAAGAATGGTTTATGAAGCCACTACTCTTTATAAAGTATTGGACTAGAATTTTGGGAGGAGAGATGCAAAGGCGAACAAATGTGCTGGCCATCTCTCCATGGTGATGTTCGGGCCTCACCTCCTTCAAGCCTTGCTCAGACCTCACTTTCTCAGTGAGGTCCACCCCAACCACCTTTTTAACACAACTGCCTCTCCCCCCAATACTTATGCCTCCTTTAGCCTGTTTTTACCCATAGTGCATATCTCCTTTTGACGGCTTTTTTTTATATTTACTTACTTTATTACGTTTATTATTAATTGTCAGTGTCCAAACACACACCCCACCCCCAGGACAGGAATCTGTGAGATTTATTTCCTGACGTATTTTAAGTGCCTAGAACAGGGCCTGGCACATAGTAAACAGGCAATAAATAGTTGTTTAATGAAAAAGAATTGTTTCTCCCAGAGCCCAGATGCATTCTTAACTACTTTTTGAAGAAGTTTCTGGAATTGTCAAGGACTTATAACAAAAATGGCCATTTCCTCCAATGAATGCTCCCAGGAGTGAAAGCAGTGAAAAGGTTTTGGTGAATGAGTGGAGGCATTCTTACAGCTCACTCATCTCGCTGTGCAGCTGACTTTACAGGAATCAATATCCCATGGTTTTCCTTCCCAGGTCATCCCTCAATCACTATATAGCTGGGTCATCCATCGGTCCGGCTCCGATGTTTCATTCTTGAGACTGATGCACTACCTTTCCTTTTTGTGTAAGTATCCTCATAGTGTGATACAGAGAATTTATTCTGCTACGTGCCAACAAGCATGCATTTCAAAGATATTTAATAGCCTTCAACATATTAGACGGTTTAAGCATTAACAGACTCCTACAGTCTGGCCCCATATGATGCCATAAATATCCACCGCTCCCCCAGGCCCACCAACCAAGTTCTAAACAAGAGACAGATCCCACCCCAACATAAACACACTCATTGACCAGAGT